TTACACATTATTCTTTCACAATGCAATCATTTTTACTGCTTTTAGGCAATATAGGTATGTACTAAGTTTCAGTCTTTCTAGTGTTAAATACAGTCGACTTTCTCCATAAATGAAGATCACCTTATCTTGAAACGTTCATCGATAAACTGATAGATTTCCACTCACGGGACATTAGAAATCTCCCAACTAGAAGTTACGAGTAGTCAGTAATTGATAACTGCGATTATGTATAAAAATAGTGAATAAAAATGACGTTGAGAATACCAAAGAATACTGTAAAAAAACAATAATAATAATAATAATGCGCGTCCTTTGGAACTATTGGCGTAGCCAAATTTCCTATCTCTTAACATATTCCAGTGTTTTGTTTCTCGTGGCTCACCCTGTATACATCTCTGCGTGTAAGCTCATCGTATTACGCACACACAACAAGTACGGTGACGTTTGCGTACTGCAAACATGTCTACCGTACATTGATTATATTCCCACCATTTTATATACATATATATACATATAATACAACATTCTATATAAAAACAGAGAAAATTCGTACAAAAATACGAAATTGCGTGGACAGATTTCAGGCATCGTTCGATTGGTCGGCGATAAAAAATTATTCTAGTAACGCCTAGTAAACATAAAAACGTTCTTTCAACGATATGGTGTACGCTAGAACGTACGTTCTATAAACATACTGTGCATAACACTCGACTATTCCTTTTTTGATTCACAATATCTGGAATGAACGATTTTACGTGAGAATTGCACGACGAGCGTTGCGTGTCCTGCGAAAATGGCACGCAGATGCATATGCGTGGCTATAATACTGGGTATAGAATTGTACGCGAGCGGGAAACCGTAAACTCGTTGATAAATCGTAAACAGAGGATCGCACAATGAATTGATGACTGAAACCCGGTCTAATTTTCGTTCGGTTTTCAATCCTTGTCCGGTTGATCATTAAAACACGTCGGTTAAGCAATAAAACGTTGATTATAAAACTATGACCAGTACTATAGTACAAGATCCCATATATGCCGAATGCATGGCGCAAGTAGCCAAACAGAGGCCGATCGTACGCGGGCTAGTAGCCTTGACGGGTGATTTATGACGAAACACTCGTGACACGAGCCACGCCGACATTTTACGGTTGAAATTGATAATAGTCAGGTTTTGGGAATGCCTGAAACGGTCACAATGACCGTGTCGATGTTTAACCAGGTTAACGATAACCGAGTGCACGAGAACGTTCTTGCTAAACACATCTCCGGGCAGCCATTTGCTATGACGGCTGTGTAGAAATAAAAGGTATATGCACAGTAGGCAGCACGGTAGCACTTCACCAAATAATCGCTGGTATTACGCGTATCTGACGCGGGTGTCCGGGTATCAATCGATCCTCGGTCGCTGAAATCTGTCAACGCTCGTAAAGAAAAATATTTGGATTTTTCTTACCTGGACGGTCCTCTACAGCTAAAAGGATTCTCAGCTTCGAATATCGCGACCCCACGCCACTTGTGCGGCATATGAAAGTCTACGGGGAAAATCTGTATTACCATTGGCTTATTTCAGATAAGCCGCAAAAAGTAAGCCAATCAGCATCAACCTTTTATGTTTTCAAGCGTTTCTTTTTGCCCCCCCAATAAAATGTCGGCCGGCAGAAAGCGCGGGAAATATCGTGCGTCCACCGTCGTCGACCGTTCCTACTCCGTCGTTTTTCTAAGGTACATAAACTTTTGGGATCGACTGTATAGCCAATACATCCTTAAATCGATTAAGAAATGTAATAATAAAACGCGAGATATTTTGAAGTAATTACCTATTTCATCGACGACTTTCTTGGCTTTCTTTATTTCAGGAACGATTTCAATGTCGCTCACTTCTTCAGAAGATTCAGACATGTTCCACGTGTTAGGGCCACCTTCACCAAACGGTACAGCCTGCAATCATAATTTTTAATTTTAATTATGTTAATTCTCAGTTAATTTAATAACTCATTTCGATTAAATATTCACCGAGTCTATAATTAATTCAGCAGAGCCTTCTCCTGGTTTTACAATCGTTTTAAACTCGTCCTCTTCTTTCTCCCCGTCAATTTCCATTCTGTCTACTTCACCCCATTTACGCAGTTTAATACTAATGTATTCACTGTTCATCGTCGACAGTTTCTTCGTAGTTATACAATCTTTAAAACGATTCGTATTCCGATCGTCTTTCTTATACCTAAACAACGACATTTATATAGAGAATTCAGAGACTGAATGAAAACAATGATAATATACCTCGCCTCCACGTCGCGAGTCACGGCTTCTTTGATCTGCTGTATTAATTCAGCAGCATAATTCGCTGCGTAACTAGAAACAGCCGATATCACGTCCTCCACTGTCATAGTCTTTGTCAAATAATTAAAATGCAGACTACAGATTTCTCTATACGAATTTATTCCAAGAGTCAGCTGAGCTACTCCGACTCTCTCCTCTAAATACGTCGGGTCCATAATCGTGTTCCCACTAGAAATATATTTTTATCAAATTAACGTTTCCCCTTCTATCTTAAATATACTCGATTACCTTTCAAAC